ACCAGATCTGCTGTTCTCATGGGCTAGTCATTTATGGTTGGATTTGCTCAAGGACAGCACATAAACTGAACTGATTTATAAGGATTTATGATTAAAGGAAACCTTTGTTCCTGTTTTCGTCCCTAGCACATTTCTCTAACAGAAATTTTCATTTACAGGCATTCCTCGAACTTACGACACAATTGGTTCCCAAAAACCACATCTTAAGTCGAAACGTTGTAACTCAGAACCAATTTTCGTATAGGAAACAATATTATAAATGGGGAATTGGTTCCTGAACCAAGGCCCGATACCATATTTTCACCAAAAATGACCCAGAATTTTGAACTTAACCAATTATAGATGAGTCATATACATTAATGTATTTATATTGTAAATAGTAATCATATTGATTTGGAAGGACTTCTCTGAGGTGACTTTGCGGGACTTTTTGAAGGGCTCTTGGCTGGAGTCTTCTCAGGAGTCTTGGCTGCAGGTTTTTCTGAAGTCTTGTCTGCTTTCTTAAAGATAAGTGTCCAAGGAAGTTTGGACAGATATTCTCCAAGGAGATGGGCGATGCAATGAACTTGTTCACTGGCGTGGCATGGCATGGCATCAGATCAAGTGTTGTAAAGTAGAAACTGATGTCAGAAAGTTGAAACAGGGTGTCAATTTATAAACATTGTAAATGTGAAATGTAACTCGAAACATTGTAAGTCGAGGACTGCCTGTAATGCTTCCACAGTTCAGTAACTCTTTGTTCTCAGATTTTTGTGGAAAAGTCCTGCATATCTTAATAGGATAAAACAAAGAGGACTCTGCTACACTTGTTCTAAAATTCTAGAATTTAAGGCATTAAACAAGAGGGATTAAAGTCTAATAAATCTATACAATGGTTTAAAAAAATAAAGATATCAAACAAAATTTATCAGTTGGTTATTTTCAGTTGTGTTCATTCGAATTCTCTCAAGTGTGGTCTTAGGAAATCCTAGATCGGCAGTTGGAAAAATCTGCGTTAAGATCCCTTTCCTATGACCTTGGATAAGTTACCTAGAACCCATTCCTTCAAAAAAAGATGTAGATATTTCTTAAAGAGCATTAGAATTCACCTTGAACTTTTCATGTGCATAAAGTGAAATGTGCCTAAATGTATGTAGGTTTGGTGCTTTATCTGTCTGTTTCTAAAGCCATATCAATTAAATGGGAATGCTATTTTCTTCCATGCTTTATCTTTCTCTCCTGTTTTCCTTCTTTGTATGGGCATACAATGAAATCAGGTCCAAATTTGGGTTAGGGATTCCAGGTCCTAATGTAGTAATACAAATCATAAATAAATAATGAATATTATACCAAAACCCCAACCTGAGTGCCATGCTTTTTGTTTTTAGGGAGTTTTTTTTAAAGTTTTCCATCATTTTGTGCAGTGTAGTGTTTATATATGCATCTTGTTCAGATGTATGGACAAACATATGCTAGTCATTTAGTCTGCTTTGACTTTTGTGTCTGGTCATTTTCACTTTCTACTTCTTATACCCTAGCACACATCTGCAACCCTTGAATTTGAATCACTGCTCACGAATACTTAAATCAGCGTTGGACTGAAGCCACGAAGCTTGTCCTGTTCCAAATTTCTCCAAAATTTGTAGGATAAGATTGGATACAAAGTTCTGCAGCATAGTTTAGTATATGAGAGCTGGCATAGCTACAACATGAAAGTAAAATTCACCTTTCAAAATCAGATTAACTTTTTGAGTTAGAGAGTTGCACATTACTGTTGATTTACAAGTGTATTGTTTCTTGTCTTCATTTCCAAATTTCCGGGCTTTAGCTTTAGATGAGCAAAGTGGTTTGGGAGAAATCCAGGTTAGTGGCTGTTTGCATTAAGAGTAAACTATATGCAAAAGCTTACCATGTATGGTGCAGAGTGTTTTTAATATATTTTCCTCTTAACCCTTTGAAAAATGGCAGTAGATATAAAGTGGCAGAAACCCAAAGATCTTCAGTGGTTGTCTGTTTTACATAAATATGCTTCACTTTTACAATGAGTAGTTTATTGGGAATAAGTTTCAGATTGTCTCCTTAAAAAAGCAAATTAACATTAGGTTGTATCTTGTGAATAATGTTTTAAAAATCAGATTAACACTTTTTCTTTATAGTTTTTAAGTTGCAGAATCAGGAAAAAACACTCAGTTCTTCAGAACTGTTTAGTCTTTGTTATGGAAAAAAGAAGCCACTGAACAGTATTCAAAATTCAATTGTGATAACTTGATTAAAATCAAACTATCACAAGTGAATTTGGAATACTATTCAGTGGCTTCTGTTTTAATAAAATCAAGCAATTTTTACTACGGCAGTCTGACATGCTAAATATAAACAATTTACATGTGATTTTAATTTGCTAAAACTAATAAATTATAGAAAATGTTCCTCTGCTTTATGTTCTTTGGTTATTGCTGTTATAATTAAATCTGGTCAAAGTTGTGTATGTTTGGCTCTAAGGCCCCCTCTACATGTTACAGGTATCACACAATTAACTAGTGAATTATGCAATTACCTTGAGGCCAGCCACATGTGCAAAGTAGCTATTACACAATGAAAAGCTCCAACCAGCATAGGCAGAGGGAGAAAACAAGGGGGGGGCACTGAGTGTAGGTAAGTCTGTGGCGGAAGGGGCCTGGGGGGAGGGAGTGAAGCTGGGTATGGGACCGGGCAGAGATCAGGAGAGAGTGGACCTGAGCCAGGCCCAGGATTGAGGCCTGCTACACCCATACGGCCACCCCTTCCCGCACACCCAGGTTCATTGCCCAGCACCAGCACCCCCCCACAGCAACAAATCCGCTGCCCCCAGCCCTGCACTGGCCCCAGCTGCCTCCCTGCGTTGGTCCTGACCCCGCACCACTGGGGGGGGGGCAGAGCTGGGGGCCAGAGTGGGGCCAGCCTCAACTGCTCTGGAGGGGACAAAGCCCCTGGGACCCCTGCACCTGCCCTACTCCAAATCATCATTGTTCATAATAATAATAATGACTATAATAACACTAATGCTGATGCTGCTGGGGCATTTTGGTCGCTTTACTAGCCATAGCATCACATTGCAGGCTCGTGTTCATCTTGTGGTCAATGATGACCCCCAAGTCTCTTTCTTCTATAGTGCTAGCCAGCGTAGCACTGCCAAGCCTATAAGGATGCTGCAGGTTTTTCCTCCCAAGGTGGAGAACCTTGCAGAGCTACTTCTGACCTGTTCTGGCTGCAGCAACAGGCTGTGTGGTAGTCTGGGTGCAGCTAGGGACAGCAACAGTGGCTTGCAACTTGCTCCTTCCAGTTCCTGCTCCTGACCAGTTGGTGGGTAAGGGGAGCCTGTAGAGAGCAGGGGCTGGAAGGACAAAACTGCAGCTGCCACTATCCCAGAATGAATCCAGCCCCCCGCACAACTGGAGTCAAACAGGAGTGGCTCCATGTCCTCTACCCCTTAGCCAGCTGGGGACAGCAGCAGTGGTGCCAGGGCATTGGTGGTTAGATGCATGCTTCCTGCCCGGTTCCCTGATGTGCTCCACCAACCTGGAAGCTCTGGCTACGCCTTGCCTCTTTCCCCCCATAGTCAGGGTGGGTGCACCATACCCCACCTTTAGTAAATCCTGGATCTGCCCATGACCAACTCTCATGCAACTTGAGATAACCTGATGCTAATATATATTGCAATGCTTACTAGTAGACTTAAGGGTGCCTGGAGCTGCCAAATTATTAGGTCACTCAGCCATATTCTGTTCCTCTGGTCATGTTCCAGATGTCAGCTCTGTTCAACTGGACAAACCCTTTTTTGTTCAGTTACTTCTCTTCATGAGTAGTAAAGCTGATTGTGACTACTTTTCAAGTCAGACCTGCTTACTTCGCTGAAGTGAGAAATACACAAGTAAATCAGTGTAAAATAAATGGTTCTTCATCTCAAATTTATATGCTACTTACAACTGTCAAACTGACACAATAACACTTACAAAAAGGATGACCATTGAAATTCTATCTGAGTTTAGTGTATGTTCATATAGGTGGGTGTGTGGGTTTGTTTGTGCACATGAATATGTGTATTTACATATAAAAATTTTGGATGCTATCCCAGTAGGAAGCCCCAAAGCAGTAACAGTAGGATTCATTTAACAGCCTAGCAAAACAAGCAAAGCATTGAGGGTCACATTCAAGAATGCCTTTAATTGATGATCTCATGTGGCAATTACAATGATTTATAGGGACCTGATTAAAATTTTGACCTGGAAATGTCACTGCTCTGTCAGTAGCTTAGAGATGATGGAAGACATATTTTCTACTTTACTTTTGGTGTATTTTGCTTATTAATCAAAGCCTACTTTTCTTCATATAATTTATTCCATTAGACCTTGCAGTTCTTCAGTCTTCTAAGACAGTATCATTAGTTGTCAACTGCAAGTTATAGATCATTGATCCATAAATATATATTACTTTGCCACTACTGAAGGTGAAGCTCTTCTTTTTTCTTGAATAATAATTTTTTCAATATATAAATTTTATTAGTATGTACTTATGTATTAATGAATAAAATACTACGTTTTCAAGGCGAGAAAGGTTGGTAGTCCCTGTCATTGAATTTCATTCCTGTATTGAGCGCAATAACTTGTGGCTAAACTGCAGTATATGAATGACATCTCATCTTTATTTGAATTTCTGTATTGTTGTCTAATATGCTCTTCTTTGGCAATGATTTCTGATAATGCCATATCTGCTTTCTGAATGTTCTAAAACCTGTGAAATTGCTGACAACTGTATGTGATAAATTTCCAAGCATATTTGCAGTATGAAGTAGACCTAATGATCAAGCTGTTGAGAACAATTTATATTATCTTAATTAATCTGTATTAATTTTATCAGCTACAGATAACAAATTACATATACTGATGATTTCACTGTAGGGACATTGATTTAATGGAACATGTAGTCATTTGGTATTGGGAGCACAGCCATAATATCACATCCACTGTTTTGTTTCTCTTTTTCAGTCATCAGGCACCAGTATTACAGTGGATATTGCTGTCATGGGAGAAGCGCATGGGCTTATTACAGACCTGTTGGCAGATCCTTCATTGCCACCCAATGTGTGTACTTCCCTGAGAACAGTGAGCAATCTGCTTAATACACAGTTAACATTCCAGGCTATTCATAAGCCAAGAGTCAACCCTTTGGTGTCATTCAGTGAAAACTATACTTGCTCTGACTCAGAAGAATGTCCAGAAAAAGGAGAAAAGCTGGCTATTCCCAAGGTATGTACTTCTCTGTGTTGGCTGTCAAAGTCAGTGTATTCTGATTACTAAACCTTGACTCCATCAACTCCACCTTATGGAATCATAGAAAAGTAGGGATGGAAGGGACCTCATGAGCTCATCTAGTCCATTCTCCTTCTCAAGGCAGGATCAACCTGATCTAAACCATCTCATGCAAGGTGGTTGAACCTGCTCGTGAAAATTTACAAGGATGGAGAAATTCCACAGTTTCTCTAGGTAGCCTGTTCCAATGCTCGACCGCCCTCATAATCAGAAGCCTCCTCCTAACTTCCAACCCAAATTTCCTCCACTTCAGCCTCAGGCTTATTGTTCCTAGTCCTGTTTCTTATGACCACAGAGAAAAGCTTATCTATCTCCTTCCTGTTATCAAATTCCCCCTTGGCCTTTTCTTCTTCACACTAAATAACCCTAGCTCTTTTAGCCTTTCCTCATAAGTTTTGTCTCCCAGGCCACTAATCTTTTTTGTTGCTCCACACTGCATCCTTTCCAATCTGTCCATATCCCTGACGTGCTGGGGCCAAAACTGGACACAGTACTCCAAGTGAGGCCTCACCTGTGCTAAAGAGAGCAGAAAAATTACTTCCCTTGATTACTTCCCTTGATTTATAAGTGATTCTTCTATTAATATGACCTAGTATGTGGTTGGCTTTTTTTTCAGCAAGAGCACACTGTTGGCTCATATTCAACTTACAACTCAGCTGTAGCCCCCGGTCCATCTCTACAGTATTGCAGCCTAGCCTATTGTTCCCATTATTTCCATTCTAAGCCTGTATTTGTACATGCAATTATTCTGTCCCACTTGCAGGACTTTGCACTTGTTCTTGTTGAATCTCATCTGGTTGACTGTAGACTATTTCTTCAGTCTATCCAAGTCATTCTGGATCCTAGCCCTACCTTACAGAGTATCTGCAACTAAGCCTGTACTTAGTCCAATTGTCTAAATTATTAATGAAGACCTTACACAACATCAGACCCAGACATACCCATGGGGAGCCCCACTTGAGACCTCCTCCCAACTAGATATTGAGCCATTGATAACTACCCGGCTAGACAGCAATAGACCTCCATAAGCTTTGGATCAAGGCTTCAGTGACCCATTTGCCCACCTGAAAAAAATACCATGCAAGTCAGTATTGCACATAGTATAGGCATCTATACATATGCAACAAAGCTGCTCCAGTGCACCATAATTACAGTGTGTTGGAGCAGACTCGATTAACCAAGTCTGCTGGATCATGGTAATTACTGTGCTCCAGCAGACTCCAGCATGTATCAGTGTCCCCACACTGAAAATTGGAAATAATGGGAGTTTTGGTAAAGATTGATTGGATGAGCTGTGTTTGAAAGCACAGCAAACAAAAGTAGAGGAAACTAACCAATGCAGTTTATTCCCTGCTTCTCCACCTGTTAACAAAAGTTAGCAGGTTAAAAAAAAACAAGAACAACAAAAAAACCTTCCAGTCACCCTGAAAATATTCTAAACTGCCCAGGTTGTCCATTCTAACTTCTAAACAATTTGGTAATTTCTCTGGTAAAGCAAGAACATAAAACTTGCTAGTTGGAACTAATTGTGAGGTGCATTTTGTGCTTATCCTGTACAAATAATTTCTGCAGCCTGTGATTATAGAGGTGAATGATTTTTTTTTTTATGTTTTGGACAGGACTTTGAGTGTGTTTTCTTCACTTAACCAGAGCTTTAGAATTACTTTAATGGGAATAGAAAAAAATCAATATAGAATGGCAAGCATTGTGCATTGGGGTGTAGGCATTCACACAAACTGAAAGGACCAGGCATAAAGCAGCAGTCTAATATGAATATTTAAATAGTTTAAAAAAAATAAAATGCACATGGATCAACTCCACTCTGTGAAACAGGTGGAGCTGATAGATTTGGTTAGTAAAAGTTTCTACCACCTCAAGTTGTATGACCTTGTATTCAGTACTTTATAACTTTAACTATTTTAATTGATTGTTTGTATGCCCAGGTTAATGTCCAGTTAATTTTTTAATTTTTATTATTTTAATTAAAACAAAACTATATGCAAAAACCAGACAAGGGAAAAATTCTGGTAGCCCTTAATTTGAAAAGTTCTGGTACTGTTCAGCAGGAAATTGTGTGCAGCAGTCCTGGGTGTCAGAGGTGTGTTTTCATGGTTCCCTTCTATGCTGTTAATATTTCTCCCCCAGTGGGGTCCTGGCACAGTGAAAGAAGGAGTAACTTGATTAAAGTAGAGGGGACCCACACAGTGGGGCAGGAGGGCTTAGTAGATTTGGGGAAGAGAGGAGGTCATTGTTTGATTAAAGGTGGATCATAATACATGTTTACAAGAGTCTGAGTTAAGATTGCACAGGCAGCCCTAACTGTCATTTATTGTTGAGTGCTTGACTTCTCTCCTTTAATGTTGTCTTTGTGCAATATTAATATGCGCAGTGGCATCAGAGACTGGTATATATCCAACTTGGTATTCCAACCTATCCAGGTAAAAAGGAAAGAAGTCAAAAGAGAATAGATGAACGGATGATAAGAGAAGTAAAGTGTGCCTGTAAGGTTGTACTAGCTGAAATGTGTTATGGTTCACATAAATAAGTTATTGAAAATAAATGTGTTAAGTGTATAAATATAGGTTTAGCAGCCTAACTGTGGTGACCCATGTCTGAATATGTTGACCAAAATATAGCCCATCTATCAATTCACTTGAGCTGTTGAGTCAGTTTTGCACCTGTTGAGCTGATGGTATTCCCCATAGAGCCTTATAAATTATTTTAATACTGATAACTATTCAGAATTATTTTTGTACTCAAGTGAAGATGATTCACAATAATTAAAAGCAAAACATTGATTATAAAAAATAACTTTCTCAGAAAATTTATTGGAGCCACTCTTCTCAGCAATGAAGTTGAAGTCTCTAATAACAATGACTTTTGCCTCCACTCTGCGTATTCCCTCAGTCTGCAGCTTTGTCAAGCTTCAGGAGAACTTGCACATTATCGGCAAGGATCATGTACGGAGTCAAATATAATGGAAATAAGTTAGAGAAACTTTGTTGCTATGTTGGGAAGGGTTTTTGCTTGCAACTGTTTCTACCTATTATTTATTTGGTTGGTTTTTGGTTTTTGGTTTGAATTTTTGTTTTTTTGTTTTTTTTTTTGGAACAAAGTGCTCCAGCATATAAATGCTTTATTTTGATGCATCATCTTGAACTTGATTCAACTTGATACACATCTTGACTTCTTTTTCTTTTGTTTGGATTTTACTGATTTTCCTACATAGTATATCTGATGTTAAAGCATTCTCTTTTAAAGGCTACTGAGTGACTTGGCCAAAGTCATGTAAGACTTGAATTTCAAAGGTGTTGAATGCCTCAGCAGTAACTCCAGTCAGAGCTGAGTATGTGTAACAATCAGGCCTGTGATCTTTCTGTTCTTTAATGTCAGTATCAGTAGAATATGGCGTAATATCTACTCAAAGGTAGTCAACTGGGTGGATAACTGCAAAACTACTGTTTTCTGTTTAGCGCTTACGAAGGAGTTTGCCTCCAGGTCTACTGAGACGTGTGTCATCAACTTGGACCACAACGACATCGGCAACAGGATTACCTACCTTGGAGCCAGCACCAGTGAGAAGGGACCGTAGTGCCAGTATCAAACCTTATGAATCTTCTTCATCCAGGTAAGAAAATTATCTTCTTTTCTATATATACCTTTAGGGATATGTCCTTCTTTCTTTGTGAATACAGAGGTACCTAAATATGTTACCTGGTTTTGGGAAATTATAAATCAAAAGCATTAAAACGTTTCTATCATTTCTTTCATTGGGGATTTTTATTAAGGGAGACAATCAGTGCCTTTACATTATACCAGTTGGTAACCAAAGTAAACTTAGGAAGCATTTAGAAGCCAAAAGCTTCAAGGAGTTAGAAATGGGGGGATTTTAAAAGATGATATTAAGCCCAGAACATGGAGACTTGAGGTCTCTGCAACATTCATTTCTTGTTTCCTCATATGATTATTAATTGTGCATCTCATTTTAAAACATATGTATAGTTATATCAGGGGTGGGCAATTATTTGGGCCTGGAGGCCACATAGGCAGTTTTGGGGAGCTATCACAGGCTGGTCAGCACCCCTTCTCTCCTCCCCTGCAATAGTCCGTGTGCCCTGTAACTTCTCACCACCATCAGTGCCCAGCAGCAGCTGAGAACACAGCGCCAGTCCCAACCCACTCTGGACTCACCCCAGCTAGAGCGGAACAACTCTGGACCAACCGGGACCCATGTGCACAGCCCCAAGCCTCACCCCCCCTGTGCCTGCTCTGGACCAGCCTGCCTATGATGAGCAGTGGCGGCAGCTGGGCAGAAGCTGCTGCTGGGTGTAGAGGACAAGCAGCCACTACCCCCTTGCCACTGCCTGTTCCTTCTTACTGTAGCTGCCTGGAGTCTGAGCCCAGGCTGCTCTGTGGCTCCTTTCCACTGCCACCGCTGCCCCGTCTCTGTGTAACAGGTGGAGCCCAGAGGCAGCACTGGTGGTAGTGGTGATGGCAGTGGAGAGGAGCAGCAGGGCGGCCTGCCGCTTATCCTGGGCAGGTGGGTCTGGAGCGGGCACAGGGTGGACTGGGATCAGAGCTGTGCGCGTGGGACCTGGCTAGTCCGGAATTAGTTTACTCTGACTAGGACGGGTCCACAGTGGGCACAAGATGGGCTGGGCCAGGGCTGTGCATGCAGTTTCCCACCAGTCCCCATGGAGCAAGGGCTGGAGTTCAGATGTGGAGCTGCCCCAGCTCAGCTGGACATGCTGTGCTCCAAACAGCACCTGGGCTAGGCAGGATCAAGGGACCCACCACAGGCCATATCTGGCCCATAGGCCATATTTTGCCCACCTCTGAGTTATATGTTACTATATAACAACAAGGAATTCTAAGGTTTGTTTTAGTGGATCCAATGATATCATTTTCAGAGCACTACAGGTTTTCAAGGTCCTATGTTCCTATAGTAAGGTAAAGTCTGTTCTGGTGAGAAAACTAAGTCATTCAATGTGTTACAAACAACAGAACATCAGTCACTTAAGTTGAAGCAGAGGATGCCATGGAGGAACTTAATTCTGAAAGGCATGGTCAAAAAATGGTTTGAATTCAAAGAGTTGTAGAGAAGAAGAATTGTTCCAGGCACTAAAAAGGCCCTTTGATGCCAAAAAGAAGAGTTAAGAAACATAGGATTGAATAGAGTATAGTACATGAGGATTTGAAAGCAGAGGTGTAGATTGGTAGAGACACCTGAACACAAACCAGTTTTAACTTTTTCACTGTTTCTCTCCTTGTCAGCCATACAATTTTATGGAGGGTTTGTTGACTAGTTATTCCAAGTATTTTGTTTTTATACCTTGTTATAACAAAGAGCTAAGCTCCTCGTTCGTGCATATGTAAAGCTTACACAGTTCCTTATGCCTTCAATAGCTGAAGATTCAGGTAATTTCAAACCATCTTCCAGGCTGCGAACAGAACAGACATGTATAATATTGCAGCTACAGAAGAGAATGAATTTGTAGGGCCATGATTGCGATAAAACCTGTGAAGAGGAAAAATGTGATGCTGTCATGAGTCTAGCCTAGAATTCATGTTTTCAAATATCTGGAGGTCTCAGAACATCTTAAAAATCAAGTTTGAGAGCCACAAAATGACTTAAACAGGATTTGCATGCCCAAATTTAAGTCCAAAATTAATTTCTTGCCACCTAAAGTCTCCTGGAGCTTGGTTTTCTAACATTAAAATTTCATAGATCATTAAGGTCTGCTTCTGGGTACCCAAGGAAATCCTCATTCTTTCCATTGTTTAGGTATCTGAGCTATCTTACACCTAACGCCCATCATGACTCGCAGATTATCTCATCTGCAGGACCCAATCTTAGAATCTGCAGAAAACAGAAGTAGTAGAGTTGGCTGTGCGTTTTTTCATCCAGTAATTCTTTGGTTAAATCATTCACCCAGGATGTGAAAGGCCTGAATAGGGACTAGAAGAGAGTTCTATATACCCAGCACTTGGATAATATCATGCTCAGTCTCTTTGTCCCAATTTATATTTAATTATTCCATTCAAAGTGACATAGCTTCAACAATAGAGGTTGAGTACCCTGCCTCAGAGTATCTCATATCCTGAGCTCTTATGAGGAGCATCCTGTTAGGATACTATCCTGTGAGGGTGGGGCTCATGGTTCAAATCCCCTCAGATGTAAGAGGGAGTTTCTCAGAATTTTCCTATGGAGCTATTCGAAAAAAGGAGGGCAGCAATAGCATGCCAAATGCTCCTCCTGTTCCAGCTGCATTTGTGAGAAAAGGATGACTAACTCCAAGAATGGGTTCAAGACTGTGATCTCCTGTTGGAGGTAAGCCCAAAGTAAGGTGCCTAAGACAGTGAGAGAAGTAGCACACCCCTGACCTCAATGTTTCCTGCTAGATGGCTCAAGCGAGTCCCCACTCAGTGTTTTGGCTTTTGTGCTCTTAAGTACTTCTTTATTCCCGTTATATATGGAGCCTAACTCTACCTAACTCAGCATGGAAAGTCCACCAAGTACCCAGGTGACTGAAAAGTAGGCACTGCTCATCAGTTGTCTTTGCAGATCTATCCCTAAGTAGCCCAGTAAAATGGAATATAAACAAGATAAAGCCATGGGGGGAATATTTTTCTAGCTACTGTTTTTTCTGTGATTCACAAGGCTCTTTTGATTAATATTGTTGATTCCAGTCTCACACAGAATATAAACTTGCTAAGATGGGGATCTGAAGAGAGGCAGAGGGGAGCAATTAAATATTACTTTTGGCAGTTTTCTACCATTATGTAATTCCTTACGATGAGCCAACTAAATGAGCCATCAATTCTCCCTGAGTTTAAGGTCACCAAATATATAATAGCTCTGTCAAGCTTCCCAGCCTACTGTACTCAGATCTTTGCTTTACAGGAGGAGTAACAATGTGTACAACAGAAGGGAAAAGTGAGGATGATAAGTCTAGCTTAAACAATGTTTTCACAAATGAGATATGGATTGAGTGGGAGAACATTTGACATTTATTCATCATATTCAAGGAGAAAGGTCATCTCCTGTGCACTGAGCCTGCTCAACTAAGTTTGGCAAAATATGGGTAGAAGGAGCAAGAAAAAAGTGTAGTCGATGCCCATTGTAATTAAGGCCACAGAAAAACAATGCAGTTGAACAGTGACAGCTACTTCAACCATCTCTGTAATATTTGTACTTCGCAGTCCTATCATGGGAAATAGTCTATGAATGCCCATACTGGACTTGAGCTTCATTTTGAGCCCCTACCTGAATTCCATAATCTTCTCCATGACCTTTTAAATGGGTTATTTTAAAACGTTAAATGAATTGAATGGGTATAAAACAAAAATAGCAATACTGCAAGTTTTCCCTGGGACGATTCATTCCAACTCTGGACACTCCCTCATTACAAATAATCATCATAAAATCCAAGTAACCTGTTTTATACTTCTAAGAATCCTTTTTTGCTCTGCTCTGGCAATGTAAAAGGGCCTTAACGTGGACATATATTTTATGTCGTTTATTTTAGGCTCCTTCACATCAGTAGTGCATCATATTTGTGTAATAATGGTGACTTGTGCTCTGTTTTACAGCACTGACCCTTGGAACAGCTCAATTCTGATGACCGTCACAAAAAGCAGATCTTTTTCAGCTTCCTATGCAATGGCTGCTACGAACCATTTGAATTCCAAAAGGCAAACCCGACAAGGTGAACAGCTATTTCTGATTTTTGGTTTTAGTCAAGTTCTTTTTAGCTAAAGCTTCAGTATATCGAGATATACCTGTTTTTACTCTCTCTACATTCTTTCTTCTCACTCACTTTCCAATAATTGAGACTTTAGTTATTTCCCTCAGTTAAAGACAAAATGCTTCAAAATTCTATAGCTAATATGAGTGTTAGTTTTATAAGATAAGGCTTTTTGGCTATTGAAGTGGTGGAACAATTACTGCATGTTAAATTCTGCCTGGAGTTATAACAGGAGGTAAAAGGATTCAGCTCATTTCAGACTCTTTAATAACAAAAAACATAGCCAGCCTTTACTTTTTTTTCTAAATGTATTGTGACAAGTGGCATTATGTGATGTTCTCAGTCAGTATTTTGAGTCATTAATGGGAATGTCACCTAATGTTTTAGCCAGAAAAAAAACAATGAGGAAAGATAGTTTCTTAACTGATGATGAATGCAATAAAAGGGTTTTGGAGAATTGTATGTGATCTACCAATGGCTTTCTCTTTGGTTATATTAGAAGATGAGGGAATGTATACCCATGCTGTTAGATGCAATAAAGAATGATACAATGCAATCTCTTGCATAAATCAGTGGGCTTCAGATAAATTTGTGCCTTCTCGCTTGTTTTTCTGACGTAGGGAAACCCCAGGGGCCAAATAAATGTCAACCTAATTTTCAGGCCTAAACTTGGTACCCAGAAATTGAGACAGCTCAATTGGAGACCAATTATAAAAACACACCTGCATGGTTTCTTCATCACTGTTAGCCCCATTTGATAGGAAATACTGTTGTTTTCAGTTTCCAGCAAACATCTGATAACTGGTGAAATCTTGGCTTCATCAAAGTCAATGGGAGTTTGGCAACCCTTTAGCTGTCAAACTTACAATAGTTGAACATATTTGAACTCAATGTAATAATATACATACACTGTGTAGTTTTTTTTAACTATATTTTGGTTGACACGGAGCAATTTTTTTTTTCCTTTTGGCATTTTTTTTTGTGGCCAAAGGTTAATTACAGACAGCATTGTGCTGGCCTAAATTCCCTTTCTCATTGGCTGAGTGTGCTGCTTCGCTTCACTTCCTAGACTAAACGGTTACCTAAAGATTGCTGTATGATGCTGTGTTGTTTCTGAGGTGTCTGAATTTCAGCACTGAAGAGAGATCTGAGTGGACAGTGTATGTCCATATGCGCTGCTTAAAGCAGATTAGGATTTGGGCACAGATGTAGTCAGACAACACACAAACTAAAGCACAAGTAGAAAAATATTATCATAACAAATCTGTTTCTTTATGACCAATAAAGTAACAGAGAGCTAATCATATATTTCCGGAAGAAATATACACTTTTCCAAGGCCAACAACGTTAAACCTGTGATGTAATTTTCAGAGACACTGAACATTCACAGCTCTTATTGACTTGGTAGGCATTTACAACCTGTTTTCAAGTCTGCAAGTCAACTCCTTGAATCCGCCCCATTAATCAGTGCTAAATGTTGTCTCTTTTCTGCCTTCCAAGACACTTAACTTTTCTCCGTCCAGTAGGGGAATAAGCTAGAAAACATTTGAGTTCCCTTCTGCTGTTAGCAATTCTAGTAGATGTTTCTCCAAGCAAATTTCAATATCAGCTCAACTTCTCATGTTGAAGCTTAGTCTTTTGGTATTTGGATCTTTTTAAAATCATGAATTGGTAATTAACACATTTTTTAATGTAACAATGCAAAGAATAGGTATCATAGTTAGTAGGGTCAGAAGGGACCTGAGCAGATCATCAAGTCCGACCCCTGCCATGGCAGGAAAGAGTATTGGGGTCAAACGACCCCAGCAAGGTGATTGTCTAGCCTCATCTTAAAAACCCCCAAGGTAGGAGCCAGCACCACTTCACTTGGAAGTTGGCTTCAGATCCTAGCTGCTCTGACAGTGAAGTAGAGCCTCCTGATGTCTAATCTGAATCTACCCTCTGCCAGCTTGTGACCATTATTGTCACTCCTGGTAGTGCTTGGGGGAACAGGGACTCCCCAGTGCCTGCTGGTCCCCTCTGACTAGTTTGTAACAGGCCATTAGATCCCCCCTCAGCCTTCTCTTGTGGAGGCTGAACAGGTTCAGGTCCTGTAGCCTCTCCTCGTAGGGCCTGCCCTGCTGCCCCCTGATCATGCGAGTGGCCCTTCTCTGGACCCTCTCCATGTTGTCCACATCCCTCTTGAAGTGTGGTGCCCAGAACTGAATGCAG